AATAAATATATCAAAAGAAAAATTATTTAAAAAAAATTATCAATTATATTATAATAATAATAATAATAATTATTTATTTCAACGTCAAATTAATTTACAATATAGACAAAATAAACGAAAAATTCTATATGAACATATTCAAAAAGAAAATTTAAAATTTAGTCAAAAATTAATTAATGCAAAAACTTGTCTTAATCGTTATGAACAAAAATTATTTTTTGATAAACATTGTAAACTTAAACAACAATTACAACGTTATCCAGTATCAATACGAATTAAAACAAAAAAAACAAATTTACAATTTTCATCTAATGAAAATTTCAAAATTATTAATAAACCTGTAAATTCATCAGTTTTTATCTATAATAATAATAATAATAATCGATTATCTCATAAATCAATTAAATTACAAGAAAAACATTCAAAAATGAATAATCAAATATTTATTACAAAAAATTCATTATCTAATATAAATAAACCTCAAATAACTCAAGAGAAACTTGCTCATTCTATAAAAACTAATTCAAAATTTTCAAAAACACTTCTACCTATTACATCAATTATTCAAAATACAAAGTAAGTTACTAATATTACGTTTGACAAGAAAAAAAAATATTCAGTACAGTTTCTCAAGGATCCTCATTTCAAATACAATAAAATTGTTGTAAAGTTAAACACAATACAAAACAAATTTAGATTTCTATCACCATATATTAATTTATTAAAAGCAGAAGAACAATCAATATCGACTAGAATTATCAGATCAAAAAGTTAAGAGTCAGATATTTGCATTTCAAAAATACGAAATCATCAGAATTGCTTTGTTTGAAATTGGAAAACGATTTCTATTACATTTAAAATGTCTGATATATATTTTCCTACGAGCATAAAATAGATTTAGTTTGAAATACATTCTTTTGTAGAAGTTTAGAGTTAATTTTATAATTAGACATATTCATCGATGTGTTTTTTGGCGCCAATAGATAAGTCACTGTGAAATGTAATGGCCAAGCAAGGAAAAATAGTTGCTATCGAAATTTTTTGATGATATTTTTGAACTCTCATCATCTATATGAAAAGATCACGTAAGAATTATCGAACGTTAGGGTTCTATTTGACACTTCGGAAACTTTCTTTTGAGAAGATTTGACAATGAAACAAAATTAATATGTGCAGAGTATAAATGAATTCTATCAGTAAAAATCAGATTGCATTGTATCAATTTCACTTTTTTCTTCATCGGGATATTGATTTGATTTATATCTGTCAGATAGAATCATTCTAATTTCTTACTTTAAACAAAATAAATTCATTATATTTCATACTTTCATAAAATCTTCTTGTTTATCAAGACAAACATCGAATGTTACAATTCCTGAAACAAATCTATTGAAAAATGAATCATCATTCACTTCATCTACGGATAATATCATTAATTGGAACATTTCAATTAATACTGAAGATCTCAAACAACAAATATCATCGTTAAAAATACAATCTTCTAAAACTATATATTCATCTCAATCTTCATCATCAGAATCAAATTTATCCAATCTGTAAAATCTCAAATGATTTGTTTCTCATACATAAATCATTTATACAAAGCACCAAGATGATCGAAAAAAAAAAAGGAAACAAAGATACGACAGCATAAATATACTATATAGAAAAATAACGCATGAAAAAAAAGAAAAAAAAAAAAGAAAATAAAACAATTATTAACAATCAGTTGAATTTCTTATTGTTTTTTGTCGAATATTCATTGATAATGGTTGTCTACGAATTGGTGTTGTACGTCGTTTCCAAATAGGTGATGGACTTCGTCGATTATTATCAGACTTATGATTTAATGATCTTGAATTTGATGTTAATAAAACATTACATGAACGACTTGAAGATAAACGTTGTGAAGAAGATGTCTTTTTTGTTAAACATGATGGTTCAGAATTACGTATACTTGTTATTGTACGATCATATGAATTTTGTCGCCATTCAACTGTTGTTGCTATTGAAGAAATACAATTATTGATTGTCTTAACAAATGTTTGAGCATCTCTATAGGACAGAAAAAAAAAATTTCGTTTTTTTTTTATAAAAAAAAAAAACTTAGTCAATTTTTTACTTATTAGCAAATCGAAAATATGTTTTCAAACGAGTTTTTGAATCTGTTTGAGTTAATTGCCATATAGAAATATTATTATCTTTACTATCATCATTTTCTAATAATTCAACATTAATATCTTCGATTGGAATAAATCGAATAAACCGATCAGATATTATTTTATTTCCTTTATAAATTGATAATAAATCCTAAAGAAAACAAAAAAAAAAAACAACATCGATTTTTAATTATTTGTAATTGAATAAATAAAATTTAAAATTTACTTGTTTTTTCTTATTTGATTGTTCACGTACTATTAAAAGACAACCATTACGAAAAACAAAACAATATGTTTTTAAACGTTGATGATTTTTTCCAAGAAGAAATAAATGCATATTAATCCAATCAATTTCTCCATAAGCATATAAATCAGGTAAATTTAATTGTAAAGTCTAAATAAGAACATGAAAAATAAAACAAATAATGCGAGAGAAAATCTTTCCAACTTGAAAATCACTTTTAAGTTCATACTTTATACATATGAAGTCTGAACTTAAAAGTGATTTTCTTTTGTAAGAAAAATTAATTCAATACTTTATTATGTTCTTCACTATAAGTTTTAGTTATATATTCAAATGATTGTCCAAAATCTTCATAAAGTTGTTGCATACCATTCATATATTCACCAATATTATTCATCATTGTAATAGCTTGTTTTAATTTTAATATTTCAATAGATAATAATTGTTCATTTGAATTAATTTCATTTGAATTTAAATAATTTAACATTTGTTGTATAAGTAATGGATATTTAAGTATACGTTGAACAGGTTTTATTAAATAAGATTCAAATGATAATGAATGTTGATGACGTGGATTACGTGCAGCAAGAAATTCTTTTAAATGTTGATTATTTTGATGAATATCAAGTAAACGATTTATTCTTAAATGCATAGCACAAAATGTTGAATATAATTTAAAATATTGAGAATATGATAGAAATGTATCAGATATTGATACAAGAATATCCTAGAAAAATAATTGAATTTATTTTAAAAAATAATAATAAATATAAGAAGAAAAAAAAATAATAATCATACACGAAATTCATGTGTAGCATTATAAGCAAGTATTTCTGTTGGAATATTTGATTCAAGACGTTTAAGAAATGTTTGTTGTAATTGATGAATTGATTTAACACTAACATATAATGATTCAATTGCATCAGCAGGTAAAAGTTTTGAATCATCACGTAATGGTTCAATATATCGTTCGAGTAAACGTTGCATATCCTGAAAATAAAAAACACTTATTTTTTTTTTAATCTATTCTATAAATATTCTTGAAAACTGACTTTTCCGGATGTCTTATACTTGAAAAATGATATTTGATTGAAATTCTTAGTCAGAGTTATGATAACAAAAATATGTCCATTTTATTTAGAGAGAATTTCATCGAACAGATTTATTAAGATTTATAATGCATTATTGTTCGCATATTTTTTCCTTCATTAGAATTGTTGAACTCATCATGTCTTTCGAATGGATGTGAAGGCTTACTTCATAAGTCAATCCTAATTGATGATGATGTTTCATAAGAAAGCTTTTTCTTGTCACTTCTGTCACGAACATCCTTGATAGAGATGCATTCTTTATGTCAAAATTACTAAGTTACATCATCAAGGATCTGTTTATTTTTTTATGAGAACAAAAAAAGAAAACGACTCGATCAATCGTCATTATATGACGAATACAATTATTGATTCATATATCAAAACTACTAATTTCAATTAAATTATACAAATTTTAATTTTTTATAAAACTATAAAATAATTTTCTATGAATATTTACTTGTACATAAGATCTTTCGGTTTCAACTAATTCAAAAATAACTTTTCGTAATCGTTGTGCATTTGAAAGTACTTTAATACGTGGTGTTGGATTTATTATATTTATTTGTTCTGTATTTGTATTTAATATAGTTGTTGTCGGTCGACAATATCGACTTAATTCATCAACATTTTTAAATAAACGTTCAAGTGCTGATGATGATGATGATGATAATAATTGTTCATTTTCTTTTGTATCATTATTATTAACAGATGGTATAAGTTCATTTGAACAAGATAAATCAGGTTTTGGAACAACAAGTTCACGAAGTTCTTGTCTTGATAATCTTTCAATACGTGGTGGTGGTGGTGGACATATTAAATTTTGAATAATTGTATGTGAAAAATCAAATTTACGATTTGGATCATTAATTGATTCAATTAATCTTTAAATTTATAATAAAAAAAAAAGAAAAACAATTCTCAAATTTAATACAATCTTTTTCATTGTTTTTTTTGACTAACCTAGATGAACGAAGTGTTAACATAATTGGTATTTGATTAAAATATTCATCTAATGTATCAAGACTAAGATCTTGTACAATTGAATTATTTACAATAACTATTTCATCACCTTCTTTAACTCCTAGACAAAACAAATTTATGATTAAATTTAAATTAAATATTTTCTTTTCCCTTCCTATTCTTACCTAGTCGTTCGCTTTCACTTCCTTTTTTAACATTGGATACAATAACTTGTAACGAATATTCACGATATAATTCAGTAATAATTTCAATGCCAGACAGATCAAGTTGATTATTTAATGTTATTTGATATACAATTTTACGTCGTATTTCAATTGATGAATAAGTCTAAGAGAAAAAAAAAAATAACGAACAAGTGAATAAATAATTATTTTATTTTTATTTAGAATTTAACATACAAGATTATTGAGTTTATCATTTCGATTTGGTACAAATCCATGAGAAGTTTTCGAATGAAAATATAGAAAATGATCATCGATTTGTAGTCCTAATTTTTCAATTACACGTTGTAATAATTCACTAACAGTTGCCATTTCATTAATTGATACAATTGTTCTCTTGAATTAAAACAAAAATATTAATCGACATAGACAATTCAACTTTTTTGTGTAATAGATAATAAAATTTTTCCGAACTATAGATGTATTTTTTCGTCCCGGTCACTTTTTTCCTAGTGGTTCTGACTAGTGAGTTGCGGGCTCACATTTTTGTGGACCGGGATTCGGACCCGATCGAGTTCAAACGTGAGGTTTTTTCCATCAATACCTGGTATTCTTCATGTACATGAATAAGTGATGGATCAAGGTTTCAGCTATTTATTCGCTACTCTCAGAAAAAAAACTCAACGTACAGATATATATTGTTGCTGGGCTTCTCATTTGGGAAGCAGTGAGTCCACAAAAACGTGCAACCGGATCCAACCATTTATTTTTTGTTGGACCTGAACCCGACAAAAAAATAATAAAACTTTCGACTCGGCCGGGTTCAGGTCTGGAGGGATCCGCAGCTCTCTAGTTCCGGCTATGGCCTCGGTAAATTTAATCTAGTCTCAATCTAGAAAACACTATTCCATGGTTTGTTCATATCACATCAAAAACTAAAAATTTTGTAATACTCATTTTTTTGGGTCATCTCTCTTGAATCATGTTCTGATTGATATGATTTATAACATAATTCGCTCAAAACTATAGAAGATTTGACAATAACATTTAGTTCCAGTGTATTTCTTTTATCGTGGTCTCAGTCCCGCATGTTTTTCTGTTCAGCAAAAAAACCTATTGGTACATCTTTTTTATCATTTGAGTATCTCAAAAGAACTTCGGTATACTTTGAAGCTTAGCTTTTTTTGTACATTTTATCTCAGTAAGACCTTAAGGATTCATTCCAATTCTTATTTTAACAATGTATGACTGAAATGATTATTCTCAAAAATAAAAATGTAATATAATTTCTTTTATTAAACAAACCATTTGAGGATTTGAATCACATGTAACCATTTGTAAAATAGTTTGATCAACTACTGTTGGTGATTCAATAGGATCTATAGAATTTGTTGGTGTATTTAGATAACATTTTGTTTGTTGTTCTTGTTGTTGATCATCTTTAATAATTGTATTAGAATATTTATATTTTGATCTATGACGATCTAATCGTCGTCGTGCAGCAATACATGCATAAAAACTACATGGTGTAAATGTAGCAAGTTTATGTAATGTTGCTTTTGTTGTTGGACATGCTTGTGAAAGTAAATCTTTTGGATTTGGTAAATCTCGATCATTTGTTAATGCACATAAATAACATTTATTACGAAATAAATCAATATGAAATGCTTCTAAATTTTTTTCCCATAAATCAATTTGTTTTGATATAAGTAAACGAACTTTTTGACTTGTTGAAGAATTTAATTGTAATTCACCTAATTTACGCATTTTATTTTCACGTTCAATATTTTCTTCTAAATCTTTTATTATTATTTTTAATAAATCTTCATTTGTTTTTAATGAACAATAATAATGTATATTACGAATCCAATGATTTAATTCGGATTGATTAGATGTCTAATAATGAAATTTATTTTTTTGTTTT